CCAGATGGTGAGCTTGCTTCCAGATGGCACATTTAATAGGAGAAAAAAAAAATCACTGAATGCAAGCATCCTAATGCTCGGGAAGGCCCTGTGACCTTATTTCTTCCAAGATGCCTCGGGAGACTGGACAATCTCATGTGCTGTAGATTTTCACAGGAAAACTCTCCTCTTCCCAAATCTCAGAATTAAATGGGGTCTTTGGAAACTCGGGGTGTTGTTAATAGACAAACACTGATCATCCATATGCTCAGGCCTGCCGGTGGTGTCTTCTTGCTTCTCTTACTAGCTTAGATGAATGTAGAAGGCATTCTCAAGCTCCACCTGGTATCCAAGAGCTCCTGCTCTCAAAGTGCCCCCTCGTGGATGCAAGCTCAGGTTTGGCTGATCCTAAGTAGGTGGCTTCCAGCAAACCTGCTGCCCCTAGTGGATCATTAATTTCAAAACTGATCACTTGTGCTCTCAAGAAGAGTAGAAATATCACAGAGTTCTAAGTTCTAAGAGGCCATGTGGTGGGCTCACCTTTGAACAAAGGGGTGACATCGGATGTTTGACCCTTGGGCTTCTGAGCAAATAATTTCACACAGAACACAAACTTTCTTCTTCTTTTGCTGTACCCGTGTAATATGCTTTGTCCCAAATTTTTTAACACAGACCCTTGTATGGCATGGGAACTTCTGGTCATTCAGTAAAGAAAATCATATTCATTCATTCATTCATTCATTCATTCATTCATTCATTCATTCGCTTGTTTTATTGAGGGTCTATGGACCAGGTCCTGAGCTTGGAACTAGGGCCACAGAATGGGGACAGGGAGAAACTGTTGGTGGAGCCTGGCTCATGCAGCCCTTGTCCAGTACACACTCCTGGGACAGGCGCATTGCATGGTAGTTTTCAACTCTGTCCTTAGCTGGCCCTTGTTCCTTACACTCTTGGCCTGGGAACACAAGAGTCACAGTGGGGCAACCCCTGTTGACCCTGCAGGCTACGTGTCCTCCCTTACTGGCTGTTAACCTAGGAACGTAAGGTCTGGACCTTGACCTACATTCCCATGGGCCGGGATCCATAGAGAGGCTAGTAGGTCAGTTGGCTTTATTTGATTTTCCTCTCAGCCAGTTGGATTACTGGTATCCCGGCTGCCCACTGCACTATGGTCAGGGTGAAGGTATAGTATGTGAAAGGTTGCTGTGTGCTTCCAAACTTAGCTTTCCAAAAGGCCACAGCTTGAGGCCTCTGAATCATGTATACTGCTGTTTGGGGGCCCCAGCCCTTAGGATTGCAGGTTGGGAACATTGAAAAGAAAGAATTCATTGCAAAGGAAATTGCAGTTTAGATGAGATTGAGATTGAACTTTACATTTCCACAACATATGAAGCTAAGTCTTGCTAAGCAAATTAAAGGAAACCCTAGCTTCTTTGTATATCTAGCTAAAAACAAAACACCACCCCCTCAAGATTGGAGACCAGAGACTGCAGATAAAAGTGTATATTAATTAAGAGAATACACAGTTTCAAGTACCCTAGGGCTCTCTATCAACACCTACTCAGGTACAACAACAAATCATTTTTATCTGTTTCTAAGCAAACATCTCATAGAAGCATTCGGTCGTTTTAGGTCTGCTTATTCTTTACACCTGAAAGGGCTGGATTTGATGGTCTGATCACAGAAAAGTCTAACTTTACTGCCCCAGTATTCTGAAATTGATGAGACTATGTGGTAGCCATGGAGATCAGAGAGGGAGAAGGTGCTTTGAGGTCATTTAGCCTCTGGGCAGAGCTGTTCCTAAAACTATTTTAGACCTATGGTGGCTGGTACTGTTATCCTGCAATCTGTATAATCATTCCTATTAAAATTTGCCACCCTACATAAATCATGTTTTATTTTTGCCAACTGCTGTAACCCTCATTTAAATTACATCCTCCATAGCTCTAGCACGATTATTTTCTGTTCTCAAATGAGGCTCTCAGACTGGATCATGCCCGGGCAGCTACTCCTCTAAATTGGGACTTGGCTTCCCCAGGGCAACACGTGAAGAGTGGCTGCATCTTTCCCGTCGTAGCTATCGCTCACACACACTTCAGAGCATGCCTCTTCCCTGATCTCATAGTAAGACACTGGGGGCCAGGGAGATAGCTCAGCGGCATAAGCGCCTGCCTGGCAAGTGCAAGGTCCTGAGTTTGACCCCCGGTACAAAAACAAACAAACACAAAGACAGTGGGATATAATTTTTAGTTTCCAGATTTCCCTGTTTCTCACTACTGAAAACACTGCTGCCTCTTGCAGGCATGGAGACCACCAGGTAGGAGCCTGAAAGAGCAGGAAGCGAGGTAAAGGTGGGAAGCAGCAGGAAGCACTGTTTCTGGCTCCTGTGTTTTCCAGTATGGTAGCAGCACTGTTCCTGAGACAGCCTGCTTAAGTGCCCACTCAGAAAACCACCAAGGTTACCCTTAGTGATTAATAAATGTGGTGCACTCCTCCAGAGATATTAACGCCAAAGCCAATCTCACGCTCTCGCTCGCTCGCTCATACTGGTCCACTTTTATTTATTTTTAAAACTTTGTGACTGAGTCTCACTAATTCATTAAGCTGCCCAGACTGAGCTTCTGCTCAGCCTCCCAGAGTACAATGAAGCCAACTCCTGTTGAGCACCTACTAGCTAGAGGCCAGTTCTTGGCACCATCCTGGCTCCTCCGCAGAACAACCACGGGGATTAGTGAAGTATTCTTTCCAGATTTTACCAGGGTGAAAACCTCTTCCAGGAGCCTTGGAGCAAGGAAGCTAGAGATCCAGGGCCCTCAGCAACTCAAATAGGTGTCGAAGATGCCCTACTGGTTTTGGCAGGTCTGAGCTAATAGGGACAAACAGATAAAGTCACCCAAATGTCAGCTCTGTAGATGTCGTCTTTGCCACCACTTGCGATCTTCACATGTGCTTTGTTTTGGAGGGATCGTGTATTTACTTTCCCAGAGTCTGAAGCCTTGGAAGGACATGGTATACCCTTCCCTCGAGATCTTTAATCACATCTGTTGGCAGAATTTGGAGTTGCACATTTCAGTCTGAACGAGGTGCCAAAGTCCAAGGTTTAAAGGAATGAACACAGTCCCTGTGAAGTTTTCATTCCCTTAGAGATTACTGTAATGTGAGCACCATGTGCTACACAGAGAGCTGAGTAAATAGGGGAGCACACCGGGGTCCCTCTCTCATTGACCTGATCGCCTAGGATACGGATTGTAAACTGTAGCCATGGGC